TTTTTTTTTTTTTTTTTTAAATTAAAAATATTTTTTCTTGATTTAAATATTTTGGATAAATTAATAAAACAAATGTCAATAAAAAAAAAAGAATTCAATGGTATTTTTTTTTTATTAATTTCGCCAAATATTTAATATTAAATTCATGTAAGCATATAATTTAATCAATTTATTTAATTATATTTATATTTGTAATTAATTAATAATATGAATATGCAATTTTGAGTTAATAAAATTATAACTAGTAATAATTTTTCATTATTTTAACTATTTAATATAAAAATTTATTAAGATCTTAATTAATTATTTTTTTAGAAGAAATGAGAGAAAAATTCCTCATTCATTTCTTTTTAATTAAAGTGATTTTTTTTAATTCCTTTAATTTATTATTAAAATAAGTATAAACATTTAATTAATTAATTTTTTTATAATAAATCTAATAATTTAAATGATTTTTTTCATTGATATATTTCACATAGAGTTTAAAAAACTGATATGGTTTTGATATATTTATTATCTAATTAAATTAAAAAATATATATTAAGTAATTTTTTTCCTGAAATATAGCCGCAAATTTTCATCAATAATTAAGAAAAAAATAATTGTGAATTTTAAATTAATGTAAATTTAATGATCATCTATAAAAATAAAAAATAAAAGAAAAAAATTAGCAAAAAAAAAATCTTATTATATAATTTTTATTTTTATTTGGTTATAATATGGGGAAAAAATCCACTATATTAATTTTTTTTTTACCATTTTTAATGATTTTTCTTTAATTTTGGTTAATTAGAAGAAAATTAAAAAGTAAATACAGATATTATCCCCGCCATTAAATATTGCATATTTAAACCTATTTAAAATAGACATTTAAATTTAAGATATTTAATATTTATACTCATTAAAATATATCATCGATTTTATATATATTTATTTTTTATTGTAGTTTATTTATTTATTTATTAGGCTAACTAAAAAAAGAAATTTACAAGCCTAGATAATGAAATTTCTATAGTTAATAAAATTTTTAATTTTAAAAAGCTATTAATTTTTTTTTATTAGGTTATTAAATGTCGGTGTCACCTCAGTTTTTTTTTTTTCTTTTTTTTGGATAATCTGTGTCATGTCCCATATTGGTTGGAGATGAGAACAAAACACTCTTTGCTGTTACAAATGGAATCAGAGTTAGACATTAGACGATGTGTCAGCCTTCCCACTGTTCCTAAAAGGGGTAGACACAAGACGGTGTGCCAGTAAGGATGCTTGCTCCAATGGGGGGTGGATTTAGTGGGGTCCACATCGATTTGGCGAAGGGGGTAGACACAAGTTGGTGTGCCAGTAAGGATGCTAGCCCCAATGGGGGGTAGATTAAGTGGGGTCCCACGTCGATTTGGAGAAAGGAACGAGTGTCAGTGAGGACGATGGGCCCCAAAGGGGGTGAATTGTGATGTCCCACATTGGTGATGGATTTGGTGAAGGTCCCACGTCGATTGGAGAAAGGAACGAGTGCTAGCGAGGATGCTGGGCCCCTAAAGGGGTGGGATTGTGATGTCCCACACTGATTGGGGAGGAGAATAAAACACTCTTTATAAGGGTGTGGAGACCTTCCCTTAGTAGACGTGTTTTAAAGCCTAAAGCCTTGACGGAAAGCTCGAAATGAAAAGCTCAAAGAGGACAATATGTGCTAGCGGTGTACTTGGGCTGTTACACTCCGACCCTCTTTTCCATGCATATTTTAGGGCCTCCAGGTATGCCACGTCGCATTCTAGGAATGTTAACTTTAACCGTTACTATCTTCTCATCATATGTGTCCAATACCCTGCGAGTCTGTAAAGGTTAAAGATGACGCGCTTGATTGACGTTAAATTTTAGTCTTAGTCAATAATGAGAGTTAATGTAGATGGTGGCACCACATGGATGGTTGGATTTCCACGAACCACCGTCATTAAAATTATAATTTGATTTGACGTATCATTAAGATTATAATTTATTTATTTATAATTACGTGGGATATGCTATTTTTTTAAGTATAAACACGTAATAATATCATTTTTTATTATATCTTTAATAAAAATTAGAGATTTGAATCTTTAAAATAAAAAAATAAATAAAAAATAATAATAATATTTAGGTTCATAAAATATTTTATTTTTTGATATATTATGGGATAATTGCCGATTATTTAATGAAATGGTTTTAGTTGTCTCCTTCTCCTTCTCCAAACACAACCAAAATAATTTTAGTTATGTTAGACGAACACGGCTCTTCACAATGGTATGATATTGTCCACTTTGAGCATAAGCACTCATGTCTTTGCTTTGGGCTTCCCCAAAAGGTCTCAAACCAATGGAGAGAGTATTATTTGTTTATAAACCCACGTTATTCCCTAAATTAGCCAATGCGTGACTTTCATCATCAACCAGTTATATTATTTTCAAACCAAATTTTTAGACAAAGCTTAAAGAATAAAACATATATTTTAGTGAGCAGGAAGCTGCTCTTTTGCTTATGAGTGAGTGATGATCAATAACAATGCTTCAAATCTGCAACACTTACCGAAGAAACCATACTTTTGTTCGAAGAAATATTTCAACAATGAACCGCTCACGAATATATAGAGATAGGAAATTCAACCACGTCATACTTTATTGAATTCAGGAATCATATGAAACTAAGCTTAAGAAGCTACAAATTCTATTAAATGCTGTAAGTTCATGCAACGACCAATTAGTTTTGTTCATCAAGAGAACAAATGTTTCAACACTGAACAACTTAAGAGTGCCCAGAAACAGGAATTCAGTCATGTCATGTTTTATAGAATTTAGGAATCATATGAATCTAAGCTTAAGAAGAAGCTACAAATTTTGTTAAATGTTGTAAGTTCATGCAATGACCGATGAGTTTTGTTCAGTAGGAGAACAAATAATTCAACAATGAACAACTTAAGAATGCCAAGAAACAGGAATTCAACAATATTATGTTTTACCGAATTCAAGAATCATATGAATCTAAACTTAAGAAGCTACAAATTCTCTTAAATGTTGTAAGTTCATGCAACGACCAATGAATTTTGTGTTGTAAATTGTCATAAGTTTTGATTTGATTTGGTTATTTGGATTAGATTTGATTTTGTTTTTGGATTTGATTTAGTCGTACCAAGGTTTAGTTATATATTGGGAACTGGTATTAGAATTTGATATCGGGATTTGGGAATATTTTGAGAGTCACAATGTATTCGTTGGGTGACATATGGGTGAGAGTCTTTATAGTGTGATAGTGAGGTATTCACTTGTAACACTTGGTTTATAAGTGATTTACAAGTGATTGGTTGCTACCCGTGGATGTAGAGGAACTTCTTCTCTCCGAACTACGTAAATATCTTAGTGTCTCTTTGTGTAATTCCGTTCATTGGTGTTGTGAATACATTTGTTCCGCTCACGGCGCACAACATTTTGTTCATCAGAAGAACAAATATTTCAACAATGAACAGCTTAAGAATGCCCAGAAATATGGATTCAACCATGACAGATTTACCGAATTCAAGAATCATATAAATCTAAGTTTAAGAAGCTACAAATTCTATTAAATGTTGTAAGTTCATGCATCGACCAATTAGTTTTGTTCATCAGGAGAACAAATATGAAACAACTTAAGAATGCCTAGAAATAGGAATTCAGCTATGTCAAGCTTTATAGAATTTAGGAATCATATGAATTTAAGCTTAAGAAGCTACAAATTTTGTTAAATGTTGTAAGTTCATGCAATAACCGATGAGTTTTGTTCATCAAGAGAACAAATATTTCAACAATGACAGCTTAAGAATGTCAAGAAACAGGAATTCAACAATGTCATGCTTTGCAGAATTCAATAATCATATGAATCTAAGCTTAAGAAGCTACAAATTCTGTTAAATGTTGCAAGTTCAAGCAACGACTGACGAGTTTTGTTCATAAGGAGAACAAATATTTCAACAATGAACAACTTAAGAACGCCCACTTTGCAAAATTCAGAAACCATATGAATAAGTTTTGTTTATAAGGAGAACAAATATTTCAACAATGAACAACTTAAGAACGCCCAGATATAGGAATTTAGTCATGTCATGCTTTACAAAATTCAGAAACCATATGAATCTAGGCTTAACAAGCTACAAATTATGTTAAATGCGGTAAGTTCATGCAACGATCGATGAATTTTGTTCATAAGGAGAACAACTATTTCAGCAATGAACTTAAGAATGCCCAGAAACAGTAATTCAGCCATGTCATGCTTTACAGAACTCAGGAATCATATGATCTAAGCTTAAGAAGGCCACAAATTCTATTAAATGCTGTAAGTTCATGCAACGGTCGATGAGTATTGTTCATCAGGAGAACAAATATTTCAACCATGAATAGTATAAGAATGCCCAGAAGCAAGAATTCAGTCCTGTCATGCTTTACAGAATTCAGGAATAATATGAATCTAAGTTTTAAGAAGCTACAAATTCTGTTAAATGCTGTAAGTTCATGCAATGCAACGACCGATGGCGAAAATCATTCATGGACTACACGAACTACTTGTTTGCCTAAGTTATCTCCAGAGAAAAGTCCTACAAAGGCAGCTGGAGCATTTTCCAAGCCTTCCTTCAAATCTTCAACGTAAACAATCTTTCCCTGCTTGTAGTAGTTACTAACCTCGTCGTAGAAACGGGGAAATAAGTCCAAGTAGTCGCTTTGTAGAAATCCCTTCATGTTCACACGCTTCGTTATGAGATTCCACAGATTGGTGATTCCTTTTGGATTGGAGATGCTGGTCTGAGATATCACCCCACAGACAGCAATCCTACCATGAACCCTCATGTTGCATAGTGCAGCATCAAGCATGTCCCCGCCAACATTGTCAAAATATATGTCTACGCCTTCGGGAAAGTACCTGCAAATGAGATATGAGTTTGTGTAAGTCTTATTTGTTAGGAAACACGACCCTCCACAATGACATGATATTATCCACTTTGAGTATAAGCTCTCGTGGCTTTGCTTTTGGTTTGTCCGAAAGGCCTCGTACCAATGGAGATTGTGTTCCTTGCTTATAAATCCATGATCTTCCTCTTACTTAGCCAATGTGAGACTACCCCTCTCAATAATCCTTAACATCTATGATCCCTCGAGGGTGGTTCTCGTGGTAAGGGCTTAAGATGTTTGGAGATACCTCCAAGGTTGTGGGATTCAACTTTCCACTCGGAGAACACAATGATTTTAAGACTTTTTTTCTTTATCACGGAGCTGACTATTAAGAAATTACGTCCCTAAGCCTTACAAATGATAAAGACAAAGAAGTGTTTCGTTTCATTGAAAAAACCAAGGCAAATATAACCATGTGGAGAGCCGGACCGTCCTATCGAAGAAAGAGATCAAAGGGTGATTCGAGCTGACAAGCACGATTGACCGGACTGGAGTCTCAGATTTTGCCGTTCTTCTAAACCTATTACTCACAAGAGCTATCTTGAATAATTCAGTGTGCACAATAGTTTTTCTGTACCTTTTCCTAATGCTGAGATAACTAACAAATAACTAAATAATTGCAAATAATTTGTTTTTCATCAGATCGGCGCTGATGATTTATCAAATTTATATCATCATAGAACTCGTTGCTTGCTCACCTTTTCAAAGTTGCATCCAAGTTTGACTCTTCTTTATAGTTGAAAGCTTCGTCAAATCCAAGCTTGCTCTTCAGAATATCAACCTAAGATGATCATTGAAATGATCAGTAATGAACAAGGCCGAAAATAAATTGCAGTATCAAAGAAAATTGCATGGGTCCTAAACATCCAAGATGCTTTGAACTCCCCCAAAACCATTTTCCAAAATCTACCAGATGAACTCCTCAAACCTAATGATTAATGTGATCTTCTAATACCCTAATATTTCCTGGCAATATATGTTGTCTTGAGTTCTTGAAATGAAAATTGATGATTAAAATGTTTCCCCCTCCACAGGGTATCAAAGAGATTTTACCTTTTGCTTTGTTCCAGCACTTCCTACAACATAGCAACCATGCAACTTCGCAAGTTGGCCAACGAGTTGACCAACTGCTCCAGATGCCGCGGAGACAAATACATAATCGCCTTGTTTCGGGGAGCAAACCTCAAAGAATCCCGCATAAGCAGTAAATCCAGGCATGCCTGTGTAAATTTCCGTAGTTTCAAGATCATCTTAAACAAAGTGGAAATTACAACTATTGTAAGAATGGAAGGAGTCATGTTTGAATATCGAGTTTTTCTGTTAAGACCAATAAAGCTATATTTGACTACACAACGACGCGCCTTTCATTTGCTTAATCCAAAATTAGCATGTTCTTGTTAGGAACCACGAACCTCTACAATGGTATGATGTTATCCACTTTGAGCATAAGCTCTCGTGGAGGGTGATATCAATGAAGATGTATTCCTTACTTATAAACCCATGATCAACCCCTTAATTAACCGATGTAGGACTCCTCTCCCAACAATCCTCGACCATTGTTACCCTCATATATTTGAATTAAGATCACAAGCTTAGTAACAAATGATTAACTTAGGTGACTAAATCGTGAGCCTAATTATGATAGTTTTTGTACATGGCACAGAACAAATGTGTAAAAAACTGATCCTGGTAGTCAACTTCACAAGAATTCCCTTTCACGTAGGATTTTGGAAGATGACCCCCATAACATCAGTCTGGTAAGGTGGAATATAGCCACTAATAGCAATATCAATAGAAACAACTAATGGAGTTTAAGACCATGAAAAAAAGAGCTATTTATTTCCACTGAGGAAGAAAACATACCAAGAAGACCAACATGAAATGAGAGAGGGAAATCGTCTGGCTGAACTTTTCTCAGCTGAAAACTTCCCTGATTAATTAAGCTGTAATCCTCCCAACGTGTAAAGCCAGAAACAATGTCACCAGGCTTGAAATTGGAGTCATCAGAGTCCACAACTTCAGCAACCCCAAAGCCTTCAATTGGCTTCACAAGATAACACGTGAAGTAAGGAACATATTACCAAAACACAATCTCATATTACTCGTCATACATACACTATAAACTGTCTCCTTGCAATAAAAACAAACTTGAATTTGAAAGTAAACTTCTTTGTTTCTTCCATGCCAAGGATATTCTTAGAGTATTTTCTCCTTTTTCAAAGTTCAAAAGGGAGGGAGAGAACTACCTCTTTGAGTTTCCCTCACCCTCGCCTCTATTCACCTTGGCATTGCCATTGTTGCCATAAACATAAAGTTTGGGGCGAAAAAAGGATGCCCATGGCATATCCCTCATTAAATATATGTATGCGAAGGTCGTGAATAAAGAGATGAAGACAAGAGTCACCTTAGCTTACACCATCGAAGTGTTTTCTCCTTTTTCAAAGTTCAAAAGGGAGGGAGAGAACTACCTCTTTGAGTTTCCCTCACCCTCGCCTCTATTCACCTTGGCATTGCCATTGTTGCCATAAACATAAAGTTTGGGGCGAAAAAAGGATGCCCATGGCATATCCCTCATTAAATATATGTATGCGAAGGTCGTGAATAAAGAGATGAAGACAAGAGTCACCTTAGCTTACACCATCGAAGTGTTTTCTCCTTTTTCAAAGTTCAAAAGGGAGGGAGAGAACTACCTCTTTGAGTTTCCCTCACCCTCGCCTCTATTCACCTTGGCATTGCCATTGTTGCCATAAACATAAAGTTTGGGGCGAAAAAAGGATGCCCATGGCATATCCCTCATTAAATATATGTATGCGAAGGTCGTGAATAAAGAGATGAAGACAAGAGTCACCTTAGCTTACACCATCGAAGTGTTTTCTCCTTTTTCAAAGTTCAAAAGGGAGGGAGAGAACTACCTCTTTGAGTTTCCCTCACCCTCGCCTCTATTCACCTTGGCATTGCCATTGTTGCCATAAACATAAAGTTTGGGGCGAAAAAAGGATGCCCATGGCATATCCCTCATTAAATATATGTATGCGAAGGTCGTGAATAAAGAGATGAAGACAAGAGTCACCTTAGCTTACACCATCGAAGTGTTTTCTCCTTTTTCAAAGTTCAAAAGGGAGGGAGAGAACTACCTCTTTGAGTTTCCCTCACCCTCGCCTCTATTCACCTTGGCATTGCCATTGTTGCCATAAACATAAAGTTTGGGGCGAAAAAAGGATGCCCATGGCATATCCCTCATTAAATATATGTATGCGAAGGTCGTGAATAAAGAGATGAAGACAAGAGTCACCTTAGCTTACACCATCGAAGTGTTTTCTCCTTTTTCAAAGTTCAAAAGGGAGGGAGAGAACTACCTCTTTGAGTTTCCCTCACCCTCGCCTCTATTCACCTTGGCATTGCCATTGTTGCCATAAACATAAAGTTTGGGGCGAAAAAAGGATGCCCATGGCATATCCCTCATTAAATATATGTATGCGAAGGTCGTGAATAAAGAGATGAAGACAAGAGTCACCTTAGCTTACACCATCGAAGTGTTTTCTCCTTTTTCAAAGTTCAAAAGGGAGGGAGAGAACTACCTCTTTGAGTTTCCCTCACCCTCGCCTCTATTCACCTTGGCATTGCCATTGTTGCCATAAACATAAAGTTTGGGGCGAAAAAAGGATGCCCATGGCATATCCCTCATTAAATATATGTATGCGAAGGTCGTGAATAAAGAGATGAAGACAAGAGTCACCTTAGCTTACACCATCGAAGTGTTTTCTCCTTTTTCAAAGTTCAAAAGGGAGGGAGAGAACTACCTCTTTGAGTTTCCCTCACCCTCGCCTCTATTCACCTTGGCATTGCCATTGTTGCCATAAACATAAAGTTTGGGGCGAAAAAAGGATGCCCATGGCATATCCCTCATTAAATATATGTATGCGAAGGTCGTGAATAAAGAGATGAAGACAAGAGTCACCTTAGCTTACACCATCGCTACCTTACATGATGTAAACTTAATCTGCATTACTCTTCGAATACTTACTGGTGGATACAGAAGTTTCAACCACTTCATGACCATTATCTTCTCCATCGAAATGAAATATGAGCAAACTTAATGTTGGGAATCACGACTCTCCACAACGGTAGTATGATATTGTCCACTTTGAGCATAAGCTCTCATAGCTTTGCTTTGGGCTTCCCCAAAAGGCCTCATACCAATAAGATGTATTCCTTACTTATAAACCCACGATCATTCCCTAAATTAGCCAATGTGGGACTCCCTCCCGACAATCCTCAACACTTAAAACCTTGTTTGATAACGATTTTGTTTTTTCCTTTTTGTTTCTAAAATTTATGCTTGTTTTCTCACGAGTGGTTTTCACCTTTTCTTCAGAAATGATTCAAAAGTAAAAACAAGTTTTTAGAAACTTTGTTTTAGTTTATGAAATTGGGCTCATTTTTTTTAAATCATTCATAGAAATTATATAACAAAACAAAGAAATTATCGGTAAAAGTAGTACTTATAAGTTTAATTTTCAAAATCAAATAGTTCTAAGACGAAACATAAATTTGTTTGAGTTTGGCCTAACATGGTACCATAAATTTTTTCTAATATTCTCTTGGATGAAAGTTCTAAGATGAAAGTTTATTATCCACAATGGTATGATATTGTCCACTTTGAGCATTAGCTCTCATGGCTGGCTTTGCTTTGGACTTCCTCAAAAGGCCTCCAACTAACGGAGAGAGTATTCTTTGTTTATAAACCCATGACCATTCCCTAAATTACCCTCGAACAAAGTAAGGCTTGACTCCTTTGGAGTCTTAATCATTTTTTACTGCCTTTGAGGAGGCTTGACTCCTTTTCTTTTGGAGTCCTTTGTTCGATATTTGAGGATTTACCAATCTATATTGGTACGACTAAGTTTAGGGCATGACTATGATACCATGTTAGACGAACAGACCCCCACCATGGTATGATATTGTCCACTTGTCCACTTTGAGCATAAGCTCTCATGGCTTTGCTTTGGGCTTCTCCAAAAGACCTCATAAGAGAGTATTTTTTGTTTATAAACCCATGATCATTCTCTAAATTAGCCGATGTGGGACTTTCATCATCCAACAAATGTATACTGGGAGTGGATCCATTCGATTAACACTAACCATGACATCAACAAACCCCTAAATCCATCCAATCCAATCAATTACGGTACTTCTGATCAACGATTCATAACATACATTGTAGCCCGCCGACAAGGAAAGTAGAAGAAATCCAGAAATCAAACCGCGTTATCCAGTATGTTATGAATCCGAAACCAAAATCGAAGGATGTAACAAACCTCTACTCCTTACAGAGAAAACCAACACAAGAAACAGAAAACAAATCACAGAGAAGAACAGTACCTGGCCAGGAACAAAAGGGGGAATGTAAGAACCGTGGAAATCGCGCATACGGCCTCGCATATAAGGATCGCAAGAAAGGAAGAGATTCTTGACGAGAAAATGGCCGGATCCATTGGGAGCCTCGAGCTTAATCCTCCCAACTTTGAGTTCGAAATCCGTCACTTGTGGAACTCCATCAATGTAGCCTTTGAATATCACTTGCTTGTTCTCCACTTCCGCCATCGCTACAAAATCGAAGGAAGAATCGGTTACTGGTATGAACCAGTGAGCGAATTTCAGGAAATCGGCTGCCGATTTTTCCAGAAGAGAAAGTGTTGAACTCTCGTTTTATTGTTATTACCGATTAGTGCAAAAGTTGACTAAGCAAGTAATGAACGGCCGTTGACTATTCACTAACGACCTTAATTGATATATTATATATTTATTTATTTAATAATTATAATATTAAAAAGTCAAAATTAACCTTAAAAAAACCAAATTTTACGCTCTATTTTCGAGTTCTAAAAGTATCAATTTAAAATATAAATTTTAGATTTAATTTATAATATTTTTTTCCTCATAATTTTGTGGGACCCTTTTGTGGGACCCACTTCTTTTTGTTTATCTACATTTATTATATATATATATATATATATATATATATATATATATATATATATATATATATATATTTATGTATGTATATATATAATATTTCTTATTTCAAATTAACAATATGTCGATATTAAAAATAAAAAATAAAAGCATAAATGGTATTTTTTTTAATTTATTGAAATAGACTAAATAATATTTAATTTTAAAGTAGATATATTTTAAAAAAAATACTTAATTTCTAAATTACCTAAAAAAATAACCGAGGTATATGTATGATATTTATTTTGAACCCGTTGGACGAATTTGTTAATATCTCTATGGGCGTAATTATGGGCTAATACACGTTCATCGAAAACCAATGGAAAACATTAGTGCCTAATGAACCGTCACGAAAACTAGGTTTTACCTGTCATGATGTATTGTACGTAAATGTTTTTCCGACCCTAATAATGTAATCACTTACTAAACATTTGCAAAGACTCGTCCTATGTTTAACATTTTTTTAGGTAAAAGTAAAGGACTCGTGTACAATTGACCGTGTCTACTACGCTCACTTTAGTCGTTAAACCTGATTTCAACCATGATTTTTCTATAATTACAAGTTTACAAATATTTTAGTCCATGGCAAATCGGTCATGACATACATGTAGCGTAGTTTTCTTAACCTCGGGTCAGCCAAAGCGGCTCCTTCATAAACTCAACCCCATGGATCTATTCTATTAGCAATTATAGTAACGGTACGGATGGTCAACGGGGACTAGTGCTTTTGCTGTTGTCTCTACCACAGTCGCCTCTTTCAATATTAAAAAATTCGACCGTCAGGGCTAAAGCATATACATATAAAGAGAAACAAAAGACAGATGTAGCTTCCAAGACCTGTCGGAGATATTTGATTGATCTCGTGCGGTACTTTCCCGAGCACACCGCTCTACTTCCAAAGGCTATATTTCTCATATTTACAGTCCAAAACTTTTGAAGCATAGTCCATATGTGATATCTAATAAACAAATCAGCATCTTCAATAACAGGAGACTATTTTTACAGATAATATATACATGAGTATCTGTGTCATAATACAAAAGATGGTACAATAAACACATTAATACACGACCGTCCCCACTGGACTCGACCCGACCTGACTCGATCGCACGGTTAGACTCACTGGCCAATTACCGCTTACATAAAACGTCTAGCTTGAACAGAGCAATTATATATAAATAATAGTAACAAACAAAAGATTATTGTGTTGGGTAGAGTAGAGGAGTTTCTGATGATGGGAACAGCTATATATTGACGTCCCGAGTGGAGCATCGGCCGAACTAACACCTACCGGAGCCATTTTGGTATTTGGGTTTTGATTTTCGGGTTTTCGGGTTTTCGGGTTTTCCTCCAGCTGTGTATCTCTGCCTTTTCCTAAAGTAAATCAGAAATTTGATTTCATGAGATTTATTCTTGGCTTTATACTAATGTTGTCAAAGGGTCTTTCCTGTTCTACATGGAGGTAATCCTTTGTCTTGAGAACCTGCAGAAATAGTGACGTTTGTGCATAAATGAACCAGCAAAATTAGCAGATGGCATGTATTCAGAAACACGAAAACTAGAAGATGTCGGTGAGTAGGTTACGAGAGTTTTGTAGGACGTAAACCGAGTCCAACCGGATATCATTTTTGGACACCCGTCCCAATACAAGCGTCACAGAGATAGGAACTAAATTGAAATATGTGAGCCTGAGAGAACGGGTAACATTTGTGACATGTTCGAACGAATAACAAATAAGACGCAGATGTCGTTCATTTGAACCCCAATTTCTTTACGTGTAAGATCTCACATCGGTTGGGGAGGAGAACGGAACACCCTTTAAGGGTGTGGAAACCTCCCCCTAGTAGACGTGTTTTAAAAACCTCGAGGGTAAGTCCAAAAGGGAAAGCCCAAAGAGGACAATATCTCCTAGCGGTGAGCTTGGGTAGTTACAAATGTTATCAAAGCCAGACACTGGGCGATGTACCAGTGATGAGGCTGTTTCCGGGGGGGGGGGG